CGGGAGTCTGTTGACGTTTCTGATTTTGAATTAGTGACCATCCGATCCCTAAATGTCAAAAACTTATTTGCTCTCAAATTTTTTGAGGTGGTCGCATATCAGTCTCGTGAAACTGCTGTAATACAAATTATGACGTCACCAATTGTCAAACAGTGCGCTGTACAGCACGCGCAATGACGCGTATGGCGTGAGCAAACTCGCCATGTCAGGTCATATGCCACCACCATACTCGAAGTTCGAATTATTTCATTTGGGATTGTTCATATAGCGTAAAATTTGTTTTCGAGATTCTTGTATCCATTATACATGTGAGCATTAATATTTTATGTATCCATTATATTTTTGTGAGCTTGTATCCATTATTTTGTGAGAATTATATTTTAATATATCGAGCCACCTGTCATCATGTGCAAAATATATTTACATACGTCATGAGTGGCGTGATCGAAGGAAAAGGTCATTGAAAAATCAATTGTTTCAAGGTCATTTCTCAATAGGCAACAGACGGTAAGATATATAGTTTCATCGTTAGTGTATTGGACGAAAATACAGACAAAATATCCATACCAAAAATGTTCCGTTTGTGTCTGGCTTTGACATTCTTCATTTCTCTCATTAAAATCTACGAGAGTTCCGTCGTCGTACCATTTGAAGACTGCGGATCGAAGTCGACTACTGTGAAACAGTTAAATTTCGATTGCGAGAAAGGCAAACCAGAACCTTGTAGTTTCTTGAAAGGCAAAACATACAACGGCAGAATCAGTTTTACTACAACAGCTGAAGTTCCAAAAGGTGTTATTGTTCTACACGCAATCATTGGCAGTATGACATTACCGTTCCCGTTTACCAAGTCGGATCTGTGCTCGGATCACAATCTCACCTGCCCTATCGCATCTGGAGCAAATGAAGTTTTGACTATTGAATTGGCAGTGCCATCATTTGCGCCGGCCACTAACTTGCTGGCGCAGTTTGAAGTTAAACCTTCGAGCGGGTCAAAAACTGATATTTTGTGTGTAAAGTTTCTTGCCCAAATCAAGGACAGTAACGATATAGCAGTGTGAAAGAGGACAACCTACTAGTCAGTATGGAAATTTACTGATACGCATTTTAGAATAGAACTTGATTAATTTGAGGTATATAGTAAGTTAGCTTATAATCAATTAGAAAAGAAACTATAATTAGTGTTCAGTGACAGTGTAATGACTTATATTAGCTAATAACTCATAACTATAAACAATATAGACTAAGGCCATATAAAATAAATTCCTTGATTCTCATCGCTAAATTTTAAAAACTCCCAGGAGGTGGGAGGTTTATATTTTATATTTTATGTCAAAATATAAAAAAAAGTTTAAAATTTAAAAAATTGGAGAGGGAAGTCTTTATATTTGCCCTTAAATATATTATAGAAGAACGCTATATAAGTGGATAATTGCACATGCGCTAATGAACATGCATAAATGGTCCACACAAATCGTTGTAATAAGGCTATATTAAAAGCCCATTTTTTCCTTCAGTATTCCAAGCATCCCTTACAGTCGTGCCAATAGAAGTGTTCCGAAAAATGTTGACCAGTTCATTACCTAACTTGAAGGAACACCTCTGAACCGTTCCTCAACAATTTGACAAGTTCCTTAAAAAGTTCCTAACTTCCTGTTTCATTGACCAATCAAATTTTATATTTTATTTTTGAGCAATCGGATTGGTCAATGAAACAGGAAGTTAGGAACTTTTTAAGGAACTTATCAAATTATCGAGGAATTGTTCAGATGAACTCCTCGAAGTTAGGAAATGAACTGGTCAACATTTTTCGGAACACTTCTATTGGCACGACTGTAACATGTTGCAATATTAACAGTAAAACAATTTTATATCGCAAAAATTCCAATATAAAATATAAAAATAACTAAATCTCTGAAGATGCTCGGTCGGGCGGTAAATTTATATTTTATAACAAAATACAAAAATATATCAACGCGGAAACCAAAATATCGTCGGGCGGTGATGAGAATCAAGGAATTTATTTTATATGGAAAACCAATACCAGCCGACAATTTCAAAAAATATAATACAAAACATAATCCGAAGATAAGCATCTTGAAACCCAAAATATGAGTCAAACAAGAAAGTGAGTGAGTAATATTTCGATTTTATTACAAAATCATCATCAGACTAACTAAAGTTACAATATACACATGGTCTTATATACAAGTTGGCAAGGCATGATGACAGGTTAACGGAAGTCTCAATCAGAACCACGACAGTTGCAGTGAGATGTTAGTGTGATGACTAACATCTCACTGCATCACGACAGAACCACGACAGTTGCAGTGAGATGTTAGTGTGATGATAACATCTCACTGCAACTGTCGTGGTTCTGATTGAGACTTCCGTTAAGCTGTCATCATGCCTTGCCAACTTGTATATAAGACCATGTGTATATTGTAACTTTAGTTAGTCTGATGATGATTTTGTAATAAAATCGAAATATTACTCACTCACTTTCTTGTTTGACTCATATTTTGGGTTTCAAGATGCTTATCTTCGGATTATGTTTTGTATTATATTATTTTATATGGCCTCACCAAAATATTGAAATTTCCAAAATATTGAAATTCAATTCAGACTTTCACGCCATCATTATCTTCTTGAAACAGAGATTTCACTCACTTTAATGCTTGTATTTGTTCAGTCTTAAAGGAGCCCAAAAATTTGCGAAGAGAAGCAAATATGGCCCGGGGAGGGGGCACATCCGGTGTTCAGAATTTACTGCCATTTGTAATTTTCCTGAAGGGGTAACTGGGAGATTTGGGTATTTTTGAACTGGGAAAATGCGATTTGGGTTACTGGAAATGACAGAAACAAAAATGGGAAAACTCAAATACCATTATAAAGACAGTTGTGGTTGGACAATTCACTGTGAAATAACTTTAAGATCAGCTACACAGCAATTTTTTATAGAGAATTAGTATAAAAAGATTCCACCAAGCTAAAACTGACTTATGGCTCAATGAGATCTGCTATTGTGATTAAATTGATCCTAAAGAAATGTGGGAGTCAGGACACTCCCCCCCCCTATCCCTTCCCTTCCTGTGCTACTCCACTGACTGTTGGAGATCCTGAAAGAACGTCCGGTGTACCAATGGGACTACTGCGTAACAACTACATCTTCATCACAATTTGTTATCAAAAATTGTTAAATATCTCAAGAACAAAGCAAATTTCTGAAGAAAGTTCTGAGGCATCTTATTCGGTTAATTTAAACGTATATATAGACTAGTTCACTGGTTCACACCCGACACCGGACGGCGAAATAATGTCGGCAGAATTTACGTGTGTTCACACTATACGCCGTTAAACTTTGTAAACCCAAAATATATCAAATAGAGCAAAGGAATTCAAACGAAAAGCATTGTTTTGAGAGCTGAGATGCTTGGTTTGCTAGCGGTACAAGACAGTAACGGTGTTTATGTTTACACGAAGTCGCCAAGCGCTTCGTTTTCATCTCGCTCCGTTTAGAAACCGTGCTCAAATTGTTACGTTTTCAAACAATTTCGCTCCGGCATAATGTCGGAACACTTTGTCTTCAAAAAGGTACATGAAATAAGTAATATCGTTATCTACAAGTAAACACTGACAGTCACCAATACCTGTAAATTTATTGAGTGAAATAGGTATACGTTATTTACGAAGGTATATTAATAGTATTTTCCTCCGAGACGTTTTCGTCCGCCGTGTGTTCGTCCGCCGCGTCTTCGTCCGCTTCTTCGTTCGTCTGGCGCCCGTTCGCAGGATAAGTTCCACTTACTAGGAGTCAGGCATAGCGCGTAATCCATCACATGAAAAATGTAGTTTTGCTCGACGACGCCGTGGAATAGGTGAGCCTGCGGTCCTATCGCATAAATACCTTAGAAAAATAAAAGATATATATGTTTAAAGATGTTAGAGGCGAAACCTGGATTTATATTAATAAATATTTTGAACCAGAGAGCGTTCAAACCGTATGCGATAGTTCTTCCTATGTCTGGAACAATAACTTAACCAGGAGCAGTTGCAAAAGATTCAACTACAGGCTCTAACCAACTGAGCTACAGAGGCCAGTTGTCAAGCTGACGAGCTCTAACCGCAAGTTCATGTATACTGTATATACCACCAGGTGATGCCAATATAAGATGTATGCGTATTATAGCAATATATTTAGACCACAGGTTGTTGCGCTATGTGTTTGATATGTCTAAAATTGTATCTATTAATTTTCCCCTCAAGTTTCCATCTACTAAAAACTTATCTTAAACTCCTATTTTGACGAAGTTAATTTACTAACTTCTTATTAACCGAACGCGAGGTCTGTCAGAGAAATATCGGACCGAGGTCTTTTTTGTACAGACCGAGCCCTTATTTCTCTGTACATACCGAGCAAGCTAGCCTCCTCCGCAGGCATCTCTTTTATCGTCGAGAACTTATATAATTTAGTTATTCAAATACCTGATGTTCTTATTGGGTTACCTCTGTGCAGGGACCACGAGATGCCTGCGGACGAGGCTACCGAGCAAGCGAGGTTAATAAAAAGTTTATTATATAATTATATGAGATTTATACTTGAAACAAACAAGAAATGCATGATTTGAAATGCATATTTGTAGCGTGGTCGAAGAAAACAAAAAATACCAATGTATTCTACGTAATTTGTATAGTTTGTCTTTAATACTCTTGAGTATATATCTGGTCACGTGCGTGTATATTACATACCCACATCTTCGCCCCCGTGGCTTTCTGAGTACGTCCAAATTAAAGCCTGCTGGTTGAAATCAGTTGCATTGTAATTGACTCCAGTAAGGTTCGCCCTCTCTGTGTTAGGTTTTAACCCGCCTGGACCATCAGAGTATGCCAAGGAAAGAGCTGGCTTACCATCAGGGGGAATTGTCTTCTGGAAACCTAGGATGGGGTTGTTGCGAACAGGACTACCATACAAGACGAATGAATGTGAATGGTCAGCGGTCACTATCATTAGGGTATCCTCTATTCAAACACGAGAAACGGTGATTTAAACGCACAATATGAAAATTTAGCCCTTCAAAACATTGTATATAAGTATTAAATATAAGACAAAGGGAAATTTGCATTCGGATTACCAACGCGAGTGATAACTCCTATAGCTCTTGTACTTTCCTATTTAGGCCTGTTTTATACGTCGAATTTTGGTCGCGTCGAATGCAATTAAGACAATAGATAATGCGATGATAAACCTCTTTATCAGTATTGTTTGAATTGCATTCGACGCGACCGAAATTCGACGTATAAAACAGGCTACCCTGGTTCCAGAGGCTCTTTGCAAGGAGAAAGAAACGAGAGGCGAGAACGGAGAGCCTCTGGTCACATCGATTGCAAATCCCACTTCCACACTTGATTATTTTCAGAATTTGAATCTCGCATGTGATTGGCCATTTGTAAAAATATATCAAACCGGTTTGGGAAATAAACACTACGGTAAGCTGATCATAACTATTATTAGCTTACAGTAATGTTTATTTCCCAAAATTTAAACGGTTTGACATAGTTTTACAAAAGGCCAATCACATGCGAGATTCAGATTCTGAACATAATCAAATGTGGAAGTGGGATTTGCAATCGATGTGACCAGAGGCTCTCCGTTACTTTGACCTTAAATATATAACTCATTAATAATTCACGAGGAAAAGACAAAGGAAATCACTACCGTGTCGTGGGTTTATATGTGATTAAAAAATTATGATAATTTACACACTTTAGCTTTGATTTTCTCGAAACACTCGCAGTTCGTGGCTTCGTGCTTTATCAGATATAAAACTCTTGGCATTGGTCTCGTGTTTTATAACTAATAAAGCGCTCCTGCTCGTGTTTTAAATAGTACTTAGTCAAGTATTTTTTCAAAAAAATTGCATAAAGTTTATACAAGAACAAACTATATAGAAAACAATCTGTTGTTAGTAAAGGTATTGACATTTGGAATAATTTAAGTACTGAGGTCAAAAATATTGGATCTTATATGGCTTTCAACAAAATTGTGAAAATATATACTGTATACCAATCAGCTAATTAATCATCCTATTTTAATGTATAAAGTTTAAAAAATCTGAAAAATCTTGTAAATAGACTAACTTTCCTTTAAACACTCTCACAATTGTATATATTTTCGTTATTATATTATGTACTATTTTTATGACATCATGAAATTATAATAAGTAAAAAAAGGTTTTGTTATAACTAGGGCTTTTAAAATAAAAGCCCAAAAGGGTTTCGAAAGGATCCCTAGCCCTACGTATAGATTATAAAAATGTAAATAGTTAAATTTTATTGTACTTTGGAAAATTGGGCGAAATAAATTAATAATAATAATAACAATAATAATAATAATAAAAATAAGTAAATAGTGTCATAACAAGGGTGAATAAAAAAGGTGATGGGTTTTGTAGATGGAAATTTTTGCGTGTAATTTTGATGTACATTTGTGAAATAATACCGTTGCTAATAAAAGACCTAACCGGGAACAGCGCAAAAAATGCAACTATGCATCCTCCAGCAAGAATAGAACCTGTGGCCCTCCGGTCAGTCCGGTGCAGCGCTCTAAGTCTATAGTTGTTGCATGACGTCTAGCAATAAGTTCATGTGTATATACTGGGGTACTGCCATGTAAAGCTATGAGTAAATATCAAGATTTTGTTCAGTTTGTTAGAGCGCTGCATGCACCGGAATCGCGCGCAGGGTCGTAGGTTCGATTCCTGTAATCCTGCCAGAATAGTAGAGGACGTATAGTTGCATTTTTCGCAGTTGTTCTTGATTAGGTCTAACAAATGAATATAAAAAGTAGCTGCAATATGAGCTCCACCTTTGAATTTACTATATGAGTGAATTGTTAAACACGTCCGAAATTATCAATACCGTTATAATTTATTGTATTTATAATTTCGGACTTGTTGCGAATATATATTATTGAATAAATTCGCAACAAGTCCGAAATTATCAATACAATAAATTTACAACTCCACATGAAACCACAAGCATTAGACAAGACTTTTTGTTATAAACGGTGGTTAATATATAAATGTTATCGCACTAAAAGGGAGGTGTATATCGCTAATTTTACTGTATTGATAATTTCGAACGTGTTTAACAATTTACTCATTTTGTATAAATTCAAAGGTGGAGCTCATAGTGAAAAATTACACGCGATTATTATTCATTGTACTGTGTTCTCGGTTTTTCATTGGCTAAGAGCCTACAAATAATTCTGGGTATTTATAGGTGCCTGCGCTATTTCCAGCGGAAACAGTAATCTGCAGAGGTTATTGGGCGGCGCCCAAGATATTTCAGCGGTATTTTATGTGAAAATACAAATTGGCGGGAAATTTTTAGTTGAGCGGCTTTTTCAATTGTTTACAATGGCTAGTGCTCGTTTCGCAACGTTTTCAACGCAGGAAATTGAAAAAATCGTGGAAAACAAAAGGACTCAGAGAACACCAAAAAAAGTACTAAACTGGCAAGAGAGGTTTTCAATATTTATATTTACGAAAAGTTAATCAATTCAATGAATATTTATTTGTTTTCAATTGTTGCTTGTTTCATTTTCTTTCTGTCACAAAATGAATAATAAAACAATTATTGAATTCGGCTTGCGCAGGATACCAGAATTATTTAGACCTCGGTCAATGTTATCTACATTGACCTCGGTCTAAATAATTCTGGATAGCCTGCTCAGCCTCATCCAATAATTGTTAATAATTTCCATCTACAAGACCCATCAACTATTATTCAATCGAGTGAGATGCCAACACAAAATCTTGAATTAAAAACAATGGGTCATAATCTCTCCATATACTTACCATCATTTGTTAATTGTTTCGCTTTCTTAACAGCGTTGGCAAACTCAACAGTCTGTGAGAGAGCGATATGAGCATTTCCATTGTGATGGCCCCAGTCAGATCTCCCCGCCTTAAATACAGAAATACGAAATTGAAAACAGATCTTATTTTAATTTTAATTAAAAATTATTTATGAAACCTGATCTTATTGTCGATTTCCCCACCAGGTCACTGTTCAAAGCGCGATTCCCAAATTTATTATCAATGTCCTCAAATATACGTTTTTAAGTTTCATGGTATATTGGGATATGGCTAAACTATGGCCTGTTTCAAACGTCGCCCTTCTCATGTGCCGAACACATTAAAAACAATAGATAATCAACTGAAATGCCTCATTATCTATTTTTTTCTAATGCGTTCGGCACACGAGAAGCGCGACGTTTGAAACAGGCCTATCTTAACTTACTTAGTTCTTGAAATATTCTCCTCACTATGTATTATGTCATATTACATATGATCATGACTTTCTAAAAAAAGCTTTTATATAGATCTTGGGATATTATTCATCGGAATCATAAAACCGTTAATATGTGTTATATGTCAATATGCTAATTTTTTTATTATACAGCATGTCAACAAATTTGGATCGGTTATCTATAACCAGCAAGCATTATGCAATATGACGTCACAGGGAGGATAATTTGCATATCGAAAATTGTTAAATATTTCAAGAACGAAGCAAGCTAGATATTGGTCAGTTTGAATTGTATGAGATTTCGTTGCCTGATCTCTTTAACTAACATGGCTCATCTGTAGAGTTTTGTAACAAGAGTGTTCCTGTTTTTGAAGCAAAAGTTTAATCGAGTTGCATAGTTTTTCAATTTTGGAAAAAGACACCGCAACAAGTTTTTTAATGTACGTAAATATAGATTGCTTGCTTTCCTTTACACATTGCATTTCTTACCCTCGACAAGCAGAAAGAATCCTTTTTCATTTTTCTTCAAAATTTGTAAAGCTTTCTCGACCATTTCTTCCAAAGTCGGTTCAAAGGTTCTGTTCTTCTCTTCCCGCTCGATAACAAATGTCATACCATCTTCGTTAAATAATCCTTGAGAGAAAAAAACACCCTGGACACTGTTTGGGGTATTAAACTATAGTTAATGATCCTGGAGTCGAAAATGATCTCCCAGACGTTGGATAGACGTTTAAAAAGGATTGAAAATGCAAATTGGATCAACGTTACTGTTTTGACGTTGAGAGATTAGGTTGCCAATCTCGTCAAACATAATTCAACGTTGAATCCGCGTTGATCAACGTTGAGATTACTTCACAAGTTAACGTCGTATAATGAACCATGAATGAACGTCGATTCGACGTCTGTTAGCTGCTGTTGAACCAACGTTTGTAGAACAACGTCAGAGCAACGTTGATATTAGGTTGTCGACGTCACAACCTTTTTTCAACCAAATCTCAACGTTAAAACAACGTCGCTTCCTCGGTGAGATATGGCTGAATGTAAGGCCAAAAAAATATGTGGGTTTCTTTTTTTTGTTCTTGTAGAAACTTAGGTAGGGTAGGTCGGTTTTAACATTTTTTTTAAACTTTTTTTAAAATTTTCCTTACAACCGGACGCCATGTTTGTTTAGTGAGTGCTACCACATTCAAAGATAAATTTCCCTAATATTGCCTCAAATTTCCATTTTCCACAAACGTTTTCCTTTAAGTGGAAACACTTTCAAGCATAATCCTGGTTAAATTAGTCACGGGAGTAATTAAATACATCAGGACTGGGGTTAAATTGACCAGGAAATTTTACCAGGGGACATTAAGTTAGTCCAAGCAGTGTTAATTTAGATTAGGGAGTTTACGCATGTACGACGGCGGCGTCAGGACGACGGCTAAACAAACTTTTTGAAATAAATGATTGTATGAAAATGTTGCCCGTATTTACTTTCTTCTGAATTTAATACAGTTTAGAATGAGTAAAACAGAGCTTTAATTAACCTTCAGAGCAATTTTGATCAACGCTGTTAGAAAATCGCCTGCCACGGCTTGAAATGCTAGCGTACTTTACAAGACGTGAAAATGTGCACGACGTCTGAAACTCCAGATATACTTTTAATTATTCATTTCTTTTGTGCTATAGGATTAATGATATTATATTGACAGCCGTCATCCTGATGCTGCCATCTTAATGCGTAAACTCCCTATTATCCAGGATTATCAGCAAAATACTTACCAAGTAGGTGGTCGACACTCTCAGGATCAATATCATTCAGTTGAGTTCTGTTCCAGACATAGGAAGACCTTTCGAACTTGTCCCGGCGCCATACCTGGGTAAGATCTTGACCATCCATACGACACTTGGTGTTATTTATCACATTTCCATCAGGAGTCGTTGAGCCGCATTTTAGGAAACTTTGCAATCCACCTCCTAAGATGACCTTAAGACCATTACCATAGGGATAGTTTATCAACTGCAGAGCTGGAAAATAGCAGTAGAAATTGTACTTCAAATTGAGCTATCCATCGAAAACGGTGATTTTTTAAGCTTTTTAAAATCGGCCGTTTATTAGTAGCACCCAGACAAAACTTTAGTATTTATAAATTAAAGCTTCGTTTTATTAATTGCGAAGTCTATTATACCGTACCCATGGTTCAAGCGTTTGGAGAAATTACTATCCGATGGATACAGATGATGTTCTATTACGAAATTTTAATTAAATGTAACTGAACATAGTTTAAGGATAGCAATACATAAGCGTACGGACTTGGGCGGAGGGGGAAGCTGACCCACGGAAAAATTAAATGACTGATAAATTGAGCCAAAGCCATAGATATACAACTTAGTCAAAACCATTAGATATATATCTGTGTATCATGCATAAGATAAGGTATCATAATGATCATCTATAATAAGGGTTTCAGCGACAGTTATAAAGTTGGTCAGAAATTCAAATTGAAAAAAATTCGATGTTGTGAATGGTAAATAATGAGTATCATGTGTTCACAACTTCGATACCGAACTCTTCTTGTTAATCGACATAGCAAAATAATTAATATTGATTTACATTCACATAGTCACTTGCAGTCAACGACTCGAATGGGTGTATATGTGTATCTGTGTACATATGTACGTGTCGGAGATGGAAGCTTGTATCAAAAGTGGGGTATTTTCAGTTTCCTTTGGGAAAACGCATGATCCATGCCCTCGCTACAAATTTAGGCCCGTAGTCCTACTTAAGAATATATAGTTTATGGGTATAAGAATAGTTTAAGGGTATAAGAATAATTTATCATTGTATAGAGCAAAGAATGTTAATTACAAGACTTAATTTTACTCCACCATCTCAATATTCGATGAAAATTAAAGAAGAAATGATAATAATTTCACAATCATAATTTTGTAATCCGTGGTGTGTTTATAAACGACCGCGCGAATTAAAACCAATAACGAAAATGGCCGATTTCTTATGGAAATTAAATTGTAACAGAATTATAACAAAAATATATACAGGGTGTTCCAGAACTGAAAAACGCAAACTACTGAAATAACGTATTGTTAGAATTTGAATGTCTCAGCACTCTGCTGAAGCCATAAGTGCATAATTTTGTCCCCTATACTTAGCACTGCTTTTGGATTGTGCAGAAGTCAGTATTGCATAATTCTAATTACACGTGTATACCCATATATACACATCTACTTACATATATCCTTACAATCCCCTTTCGCCGCCTGATCATTTTCCCAATTACGCGACGGTGTATGACTGTAGAATGCTGCTGGGGTTGCGTGGGTTACACGCGTGTCCGTGACGATACCCGTGGACATTCCTATGCGTTCTGCGTAAGTTAAAATTGACAGGACTTCATTTCCCTTGGCACTCTCGCAGTTTTCAAACTCCGCATTTTCATTCAGACCTAAAATTCCTGAAAATAATTTGTAGAAATAATCAGTGATCTAAAATTGTCGTACGATTTGCAGTGAAACAAATCATCCTTCGATTCAATACACTGTTTGGAACACCTATCACCAACACCCAAGTACCAATCGACCTCGTAGCAAGAAGACAAAATATACTAGAGCAAAAAGGATTTAATGGACATATCTACATTGTGGCTTTAAGTGGAACACAAATAGTGATTTCACAATTCAATACTTTGACATGCATAAATTTAATGCTTTCCGTCACATGCGAAGCGTTCCAATTCTACATCATGATATCAGGAACACTGGGGCGGGGCAAGCCCCCCAGCCCCCATGGTGGCCGCCCCATTCAACCATTCGAGGTTTCTTTCCTCTAAAATTTAATAAGCAAAACATTGGACGAACAATGGAAGTTAGATGGGAGGTTTGATATTCTAGTAATTGAACCTTGCTTTGTGAATCTTATGTCCTGTCTTTTATCTTCAAATAATGTCACTAGTGAAGTGCATCAACCTGAATTTTCCATCAGAGTTCATTAATTTTAAGCCTCAGTAAACAATCCTGTCTAAATTTTACAAACAGTCAACCTCGTCCCCAGGGCATTTTGTCTCCACGGCTGTATAGGTCGGCAAAAATGGCCCTGGAATCGGCTGGTCAATTAGCCATTCCGGCCGAAGTTGATGAGTGGACTGGGGACGTGTGTTAAAAAGTGCCCATATTAAGAACTAAAAAGACCGCCTCAAAATTAGTAAGTATACTAAGTTTGAAGACGTTTACATGAATATCCGTCGAATAATAAGCTTTCGAAAATTCTGAAATTACTGATTAAGTATCGCGATTTTCGAAAGCTTATTATTCGAAGGGTATTCATGTAAACGTCTTCAAACTTTGTATACTTACTAATTTTGAGATGGTCTTTTTAGTTATTTGGTTCATTTCTTAATTTGGGTACTTTATAACGCTCGTCCCCAGTCCACTCATCAACTTCGGAATGTCTAATTCTATACAATCCCATTGCAGTATAATTTATTCAAACAACTCTAGTGCTTTAAATTTTTTTGGCTTTAAGTCTTATCTTATACTTAGTTTAAAATAATAATAATTTATAAATTTTATTGTAAATATTGTACATAATCATATAATTCAATCGACATATGTCGACTGCAAGATCCATCATAATTTTATTAAACGATCTATCCATCCATCATCTATTTATCCAAGCATACTTTTCTAAAAATAAAGCCTTTAGATGAATGAGTTGTTAAATTGTTCATTACTTCTCATTTATTACTTGTGAATTTTCAGATATCAGATATGCGTACTTTTCTATAAAGGGCCCACAGTAATAGGTTTACACTGTTGTGGTGTCCCTGCCATACTTGTCCATGTTTATTGTCTAGATGTCTATTTGTTGTTCTGTTACGCGTTTTTGGCAAGGTTTAATAAATAAATAAATAAATATCAAAACACGCAGAAATTGTGGGTGTGATCATGTGACCAGCCGATCCCAGGGCCATTTTCGCCGACTTCAGCGGTGCAGGCAAAATGCCCTGGGGACCAGTCCAATTCGCAAACCAGTTTAATATGCTCACCTTTATCGGTCTTCACTCCGGTGGCAAATGCTGTGGCTGTACCGGCGGAGTCAGGAACCTGGGCATCGACATTATAGGTCTTCGATAATGCGGTGTAAGGAAATTTCTCCCAACTTAAAACATTCTCTTCACCGCCTTCATTTCTGCTCTGACCTTCGAATATTCTCGCTGCTGTTGTCGTACTGATGCCCATACCATCACCTAAAATAAGTGTAGAAGAAACTACCATGAGTCATAGACAAGTTGGGGTGGCCCTGAGCGGCGTATCTGTTATGAATAAGGTTTATATGAGGGTCTACAGACTACAATCATGGAAATAATATCCATATGCTTTTATGAAACGTATTGTCCATAAGGCAGTATCTATTGTGGCCGTGTTTCATTAGTATTCTTATATAAACAATACTATAATAAGGCTGTATCATCTATTGAATTTGTAGTCGTGTTTGAAGCCGTTTAATAAACTCGCAGGTCGTGTTTTCAGATTAGGTCTAAAGCCAATCGCGCTGCGCGCTCGTGGCTTTAAACATAATAAAACACTCCTGCTCGTTTACTAAACAGTACATTAATCCGTACGCTAGGATTAAAACGTCGCTTTAAACTTTCAAAATATAATTCTTGGGCTCAAAATAATATGAAAATGAAGGGAGAAGTGAGACGAATCTATTTAGTGATATACGGCCGAGAAAGAGAAAACCAACGATATGAAAGTTATCAAGGATCAAACGTACTGCATTTTAATTGGTCCAATAATTTTGAGTGACTTGTCAACAATACAATTTCGCTTGTCTTTCAAAGGCCATAAATCGCTAAAAAACTGCATGCTGTTTTAGAAATTAATTTGGATCCAACTACACTTTTAATTTTACGCTTATTCGAACGGTTATCCGGAATCCGAGATTAATTGGAAAGGAAATTTTCCCGCCAAAAAGGAAATTCGGAGAACTTGAAAGGATATTTTAATTACAGCATGAGCTCCACCTTTGAATTTACTATATGAGTAAATTCTTAAACACGTCCGAATTTATCATTATGATAAATTCGCGGCAAATTTTGAATTTATCATAATAATAAATTCGCGGCACCTAACAATAACCTTAACCCCAACCCCAACCCTAACCACTAACCCCTAACCCCTAAACCTAACTGTTACTCCTAACCATGCACTAACCACTAACCCCTAACCCTAATTTTTTATCTTTTTAAATTTTTTAAACTTTTTAAAAATCTAACTTTTTAAAGTTTTCTTGTTTTTTAAAACTCTTTTAAAACTTTTTAAAATTTTTTAAAAACTATTTTTTTAAAAAACTTGAAAAGCTCCCCACACCTGCGTAACCGGCCTCCCTTTTAGTGCCATTACATTTATAACAAGAAACCTTGTGCAATGATTGTGGTTTTATGATTAACTCTATTGATAAATTCAAAATGTGCCGCGAATTTATCATAATGATAAATTCGGACGTGTTTAAGAATTTACTCATATAGTAAATTCAAAGGTGGAGCTCATGTTGTTTAATTACTAGGCAGTTGTGGAAGCATTTGATTCAAACAAACCTGGAACAAACTCAATGGCAGAATATAGGACGATGCCAATCTTGGCAGGCACCGCAAATAAAGCTTACCTAAGAAAAGAATAACATTCTTTGCATGATTATCGTTCGTTTGAAGATTTAAGTTTATTCTGGTTAGGTCCACTCCATCTTTAAACCATTGATTATTTGCCTGATTTTCTTCGATGTGGTCGAAATCGTGTGGCCACGAACGAGTGTAAATTGCCGGAGCACAAGAAATACCTAGGCCTGGAATATAAACGATAGTATGTACGTTAATGATAATAATAATCAAAGTTATTTAGGGCCTTGTATAAACAAAATGAAAAAAAATTACCACCCGACCTAGCTACAAAGTAATTAATTAATATTCTCATGTCATTTTCTTTTATAATAAAAGAGTATAATAGTTTTAAAAGTAATATTTTTATGGCCTAAACATAGCAAACGCACATGAAACTATATACTTACATTTTATTGTAACGAGAAGTAAAGCTAACGAAAGAGCCATTATATTTCGCTTTCTTATTTCCTCGATAGATCTTGCTTGCTCGAACGCTTCAGTCGCAATGGCAGTAGTGCTCGGAGTGTTCCGATTTTATTGAAGGACAGACCACATTTTTTTGGGGGGGGCGGGGGGTGGTGGACATTCCTTCAATACAAGTAATGCTTTGTCTAATTTAATGCTGTTTTCGAAACCAATTTTTCCGGTCATAATAGGCCCATAAACAAAACAAAATCCTTAGCCGTAGCCAAGAGGCAATTACGTCATGTCATGCTCACAGCCGACGTAACAGGTGAGTGATTGCACTGTAAATTTCAAGGAGTTGAATCAACTCAAAAAGTTTTATTCTGTAACCAAAAATGGTCTAAAACGATTACAGAATAACATTTTTGGAGTTGATTAGACTCCTTGAAATTTACAGTGTAGAACCAGCTGGTGGTCGATACATATCTATTGTCAGGTTAAAAAATTACTAAATGATCCCAACCACGTGATTATACTTTGCAAAAATCCTTATAGCCAAATAGTCAATGTTCTTTGCTAATAATTTGGCTTGTTGTGTCAGGCTACTGGTTAGGATCATATAAACGGCTTTTCAGTGATGCAATTAAGACGTCATGGGTTCTCAACATTGGACATATCCCATGACAAGATCTAAAGCCGCGCCAAAATCGGGACCTTTTGATACGGTCTAGCTCAAAGAAAACAATGCCAGTTGCACTGACGAACATCCGGACTAGACATTCCAGTTACAGACGAGTAAGTTTTCTATGACAAATTTTCGTTTCTTTGCTCGTCGATATATAGGTGCATGCAACTTTGCCATTTTTTTCTAAGCGGCACTAGTATATACTTGTTCAAAATGTAGCATGCTACAATATTGGACAAAACCCTTGAGACGATTCCAGCCAGTATTACAAAGTTATTGAACATTGACAAAACAAACTTTGTGTCCCACTCCCCCCTCCCCCAGTTCAATGTTGTTAACAACGCCGAAACAACTTTTGGGAATATACCATGACACAAGCTCAACATTGAGTTGGGGGAGCGGGGCTTAAAGCTACGTTTACAGGCTGCGATTTATGGTGTACGATTCGTGTTCTGGCGTATGAAATTTATTGCTGACGCGGAAATTGAAGTGCAACCACTTTACGCGTGCTTTTTCGATTACATACGCCAGAACTGACGAATCGTACACGACAAATCGCGCTTGTAAACGTAGCTTAATTAAGAAGGGCAACATGATTCAACATGGAGTTTATCATAAAAATATGCGAATTTTGCCATAGGGGGAAAAATAGTCTCAATCTTAATGTTCAAGATTATACCTTTTGAATAATTAAACGTATTCATCTTATAAAATATCGCCAAAGTTCAATGGTTCGTCTGTATGGGTCAACGAAGAAAATTTGAGCACTAGCCCACGGTGGTCAGCGATCTCAGGTCAGTAAGCTAATAAAATAGCATCGTGACCGTCAGAAAACCGAAAGCTGTCATAGAACATTTGCTGTACGTATACACGTCCAATGTCATTGGCCGACACAAATTTTCCGTCGGAAAATTTTAGCTTTTAACAATGATATTTTCTGAAAATGTTCTGTCCGTTAATCTTGATTTTCAAAATTAAAATTTATATTTTTTATTTTTTCCAATGTTTTAATTTTAGGAGCCCATGATGGCAGGGGCCCACAACAAGTTGCCGTTGGTTCGTTTCTAGTTCTTGGTTTTAAACGTTCTAGACTTGTTTGTGATTAAGTAGAGTTATATAATGTGCTAAATGATTATTTAAAAGCATCATGTAAATATTCCCTAAAATGTTTAAAATGGCGCTCTACCGACTCAAGAATTTAAACTGAATTTTCGTTTACTGTACACGTTCGCTTTACCATATATTATGCATGGTTGGCGTGGGAGTCCAAATACATTTTCACATAATACACGAACTTTATTCGAATAGATCGACGCAGGGTAAAATTGCTTCGGCCCTAGGATTTCTCGCCTCCCCCCCCCCCTCTCCCTTGACTAGAAATCCTGGCTACGTCACTGTTCCCATAGAAAACTTGCTCAACTATGACCGCTTTACGATTACAACGGAATCTTGAGAACCAGGTACTTGAAGAATGCGAACAAAATCAAGAGCCGTGGTCAAGAGGCAAGAACGTCATGTTTGATCCCTAGCAGATCTAAATTAAGAGATTGGGACTGTTCTGGTAGATTGAAATATGTTAATTGTCAGGTTACAAAAATACTAAATAATTCCAACCAGCATGTGATCATGCTTTGCAATAATCCTTACAAGCAATATTCTTTACTATTATTAGTACTACTAATAGGCCAGCTACTGATCTTCCCATGCATGATGCATATGATTTACCAATCTTAAGGAAAGAGCTACCAGAACAGATTAAGAATATTTATTTATTTAACTTTGCCAAGTACATTTACAACAACATATAATATGATGTTCCATTGGCATAAGGGTGCATGCTACAATTTCCACCAATTACAGAGGCCCCATGAACCATGCAATACTATACAACGAACACAAATCTAATAGCAACACGATATATATTTGACAGGACAGATTACAAGACTTAATTGTTACAAGAAAAACATATAGACTTCCATGTCCTTGGATGTACCGTTGTAAATGACAGAGGATTTGGATCAGATGAGCTGGTTTCTCTTCTGTTGTTATTGGGTGAAGAGTGAAGACTGTATTAAATCATTGTCTTATGGTCATGATCGGCCATGCGTTAGTTTGTAGAAGGTTACCATATCTAGAAATTCATGCCAGTTGCTAATGGGAGGAGGTCTACAACTACAACTATACAAGTGCAAGTCACTGGTCGTAGGTTGTGTCACAACGGAGGGGCAGATTTATAGAATGCACTTTGTTACGCGTCTTCGAAGTCTTTCCACGCATTTGATTAAAGTCACTGATGGGGTGCTCAAATATAAATTGGACACCTATACTTTTAAGAAAATTTAAAGGACAATTTTGTTTAGGCGCACATATGCATATATCTTATTAATTTAAATGCTCGAGCAATAAATATTATTGCAAATATTGTAATAAGTATATTAATTAATATTATATCAAACGAATTACATCGGCAGTCCTGAATGTAAAGAGTGAAAATTGCATGCCATTGGTTTATCAGAAGAAATGCATGACGCTATATAAGTTATTAAATATTATAATCATTAAATGCACTCGTAGCAAATTACATGATAGAATTTTAAATAGAATTAATCTGCCTGAATAGATACAGACTTAAGGGCTGCGGCCCCCCACTCTGGTTCTAATGAAATAGCTGAGACTTTCAATGAATATTTTTCTACTATCGGAGACAAAATTGCAAATTCCGTTGATTCTGGAAATACTCACTTTAGTTCATACATAAGTAAATCATCCACGACTTTTGAGTTTGATACTGTATCTGTTGATAAAGTTTTACTTTCATTTCATGCTTTATCCTCCTCTAAGGCATGCAATCAGAGTTGATAAAATTCCAATAAAAGAATTGAAACTTTCTATAGCCATTATAGCGCCATCTATGACTAAATTATTTATTTATGTAATTCAGAATGGGGTCTTTCCTCGCAATTGGAAGATTTGTTGGATAATTATCGCCCAATCTCTATCCTTCCAGCTATCAGCAAGGCCTTTGAAAGTATACTTTATGAGCAACTACATGGCTATTTATCCAATGCTAGCATACTTTCGAGATGTCAATTCGGTTTGAGACGATATCACTCTACAACTACGGCTCTTCTTGATAGCACTAATCAATGGTATTCAAATATGGATAAAGGTTTGCTTAATATTGTTGCTTTTTTAGATCTTAAAAAAGCTTTTGATACCGTTGATCATGAAATCTTGATTGAAAAGCTAAATATGTATGGGGTAAAACGACATTCATTGGGGTTACTTGAATCATACATAACAAATCGGTCACAAAAATGCTTTATAAATGGTACATTATCTCATTCTAAACCGATTAAGTGTGGAATTCCTCAGGGATCGATTTTGGGGCCACTATTCTTTTTAGTGTATATTAACGATCTGCCTAATTGTTTAAAATACTGTACACCGAGGATGTTTGCAGATGATACGACGCTCACTGTGTGTGGCAAATCCACACATGAAATTTCGTCTGCTTTGAATTATGATTTAAATAATGTTAACGATTGGCTAATGGCTAATAAGCTTTGTTTGAACCTTAGCAAAACGGAATAGATGCTAATAGGATCCAGACACAGCATCAATAATCTTGTTGATAATCCTTGTATTTCTGTTGAATCACTGTTGATGGTAAACTTTTGAACTGAGTGATTGTGATTGAGTCTCTAGGAATTCATATTGACCAATTTCTCTCTTGGGATTTTTATATTGAGAAATTGACAAAGAAAATTTCTAGTGGCATTGGAGCGATTTCTAGGCTAAAACCGTTTGTATGCAGAAATACTCTTATTTCTGTCTACAACGCTTTAGTTCAATCATATTTTGATTATTGTTGTGAGGTGTGGGATCCGATTGGCAGTGTTTTATCTGATAAATTGTAGACTCTTCAAAATCGGGCAGCAAGAATAATTATGGGTTACCCAAATGAGCACGGATGCTCAGAAGCTGCTTTGACTGCGCTCGGGTGGAAAACACTTAAGGAACGTCGATTTGAATCTAAAGCCAGACTCATGTATAAGATTATTCATGGTTTTGCACCTACTGCGCTTACTGAAATATTTTCTAGTGCTTCAGTTGTCAGATCTAATGACTACAATTTACGTAATTCTGACATGAAGCTCAATCTTCCTTTTCCTAAAACGGAATATTTAAAAAAGAGTATAAGTTTCAATGGTGTTAAATTGCGGAACGATTTACCTATTGAAGTTAGAAACGCGGAAAGCCTAGGAATTTTTAACTCGCTTTTATGTGCAACTAGCCTGTCACGATCTATTTGTAGGTTATACGTGTCTTGTTGTTTATTATGTGTTTTAAATTTTTTCACCACGCCCCCCTTGGAAATCAATTTGTATTGAAGGGATTAGCGTGTTTAAATAAAGTTTTACCTACCTACCTACCTACCATATTTTTGAGATCAGTGAGGATGACCACCCACGCACAGTAAGCCACGCCCGCGATCATTGGTGAACTTTAGGCTTCGCTAATGCTTTCGTTTCCCCGGGTATAAATAGCCGGGGGAGGGGAATTAATACCCTCGCACGGCCGTCGGCTCGGGGAGTACTGGTTCATTGTTCGCTTTACTGAGTTGAACTACAGCAAGTTCAATGCCATCTCTTTCGAGGTCACAACGCCGACTGTAGCATGTAGGTTTTCTGTAATCGCGATTTGAACTCCACCGCCATGGCATTCTTCCCGTCCTGTCCCGACGAAAAATATTGAAACCTGGGAGTAGTTCTGTATCAAGAATTGTATTGTTTAACCAAGCTTCACAAATACAGACAACTTCATATTCACCACCGTGAACCAACTCCTGCAGTAAAGTTATTTTGCAAACTTTATTTGAAGTGTCATAGTCAGCAGGAACGAAAGACGTCAAACTTCGGGCATTTAAGTAAATTGACTTTGAGGTCGTTAGGATTAGTTTTACACGGCTTTGCAGGAATGGGATGGGAAGGAGTTGGATTTAGTTGCGCGTCATTTCAAAAAAAGACCAACGTTAGTGGTAAAGACGATCTTTGTAGTAAGGCAGATGCATTTCGAACAGTTCGAAGAATAGATAGTGATGTCGAATCTTTTTTTATACGACGGGCTTGAGAAAAACAAGGGGAAGTTAGAAGGTTTTTAGGGGAGTAAAATAATGTCTTATTCATTTGTGAGACGAACCAGGCAGAAAATCAACCAAGAAAAAAGGACTGTACAGACTGTTTAGAGAAATATCATGTTTTAAATGTTAGAAAACGATATAAATAATATTCAAGGGTGGACCTCGCACATATTGTACATGTTGGAAAGCGACAATCAAGCATTGCAATGATAATATTAATCTCAAATTACGATTGAGTGTAATATGTCAAAGTTCAAACAGGTAATTCCAAAGATAAATTGCAATTCCAATTAATGAATGATAATTCCTAAATTGTATTTTAGGAATCAACAATCTATAGATTTTCTGCTAATACCCTATTTTTTGCATAGTCAGGCGGTTTCAGGCTACAAAAAAGCAGACTTCCTGGTGTGTAATCGGTAAAAAAAATTGGAGACTTAATATTATGCTGTTTTGAATCTCAAGTTCTATCTTTTTACAAGGCCCCTATAGCAAAGACGTGAATTTGCAGCAATATCAAAATTCTATTTTAGGAAACAACAATCTATGGACTTTTTGCTCATACCTTATCTTTGCATAGTGAGGCTGTACGGGCTACAAAAAAGCAAGTTTTTCCGTGTGTGTAATCGAAAAAAAATTATATTCAATATTATGCTGTTTTGAATCTCACATTATTCTCACGTTCTATTCTATTTCAATGCCCCTGTGGCAAAGGCTTGAATATGCGGCAATCTGAAAATTCTATTTTAGGAATGCAATATTAATACAAGTTCTGCTGATACCTTATTCGTGCACAATCAGGACGTTGCTGACTATAAAAAAGCAGGTTTTTTCTGCTGAACTCGGAAAAAAATTTGGACTTAATATAATGCTGTTTTGAATCTCATAGGCCGTTTGCTCTAACCTGGAAAAGTGCCTAGAAAACAATTTTCATTAAGCATGTCTTGGAACTGAAATATTTTTATGGGAACTAACACTTTCCAACACGCCGAGTTCAAAACCGAAAAATTCCCGCACCGTAGACCCGCAGTTTTCTCACAAACTGCTATTTTATCTTCGCTAATTTCTCAACAAATTTTTTCATTGTTCAACGGCACGGATGGATGAAGACACACGATTGCATAACTCAAAATGACTAATTCCTATGAAGTAGTCTCTACATTGAACAAAAGACCGGTTTTGCTCGAATTATTTTGAGTTATGTAATCTTATGTATGCGTATTACACGTAAAGAACATATCTTGTCGACATCTTTGGGAATTAGGTACCGATATCGCATTGTAAAATCCTCAGTTCTGGCTGAATCTCTATAAAATCACGTGGATCGACGCGTCCACGCCAAAGTTAAAAAAATAATTGGAACACAAATATATACGGCGTGGACGCGTCCACGCCAAGTTAAAAAGTCATTGGAACACTGATATACAAATATTTGTGTTCCAATGACTTTTTACACTTGGCGTAGACGCGTCCATGCCATTGTATATTTATGTTCCAATTATCTTTTTAACTTGGCGTGGACGCGTCCATGCCATTGTATATTTGTGCTCCACTAACTTTTTTAAATCGGCACGGATGCGCCATGCCATGCATGTATGTTTGCAGTTTTCTAGTGACTTTTTAACATCACATGGATGCGTCCGTGTCGTTTGTTATGTGCAAGTTTTACATATTTGTGTTGCAATGACTAAAAATAACTTGTCAATATTGTTGCTTTTGGAATGGTTACATGGACTTGTTTAGAAATTAAGGACATTGATAATTTTTGACATAATAGTGTAATAATATACGTGTATTTTACTCTATGGAAAATACTTGCTGTATTAATAAATTAAGCAACATTTTGTCGTCTGAATAAAGTTTACTTGGTTTTTGTACAATTTACCAAGTGTTATTTTCCAAATTTATGCCAATTTTAAATATTATAACAAATACGTCCGAACAGTTTTTATAGAAATAATTGTTTGTCATTTTTTGGCACTAATGAATAATTTTGAGAAACGTAAATTAAGTGGAACAACGCAAAATTATGCACGGATTAACGTAATTCTCCTGAGAAAGAATCTTCTTTGGAAATAGTAGGATTAATTGGGGACAAATGTTCAAACAAAGTCTAAATTTGTGGCTAAAATCTCGTAATAAAACGATTTTGTCTACAATATTGCTAAATAAAATATCGCACTTAGCTCTGGAACGTATTTCTACAATATAAACATTTTCTGTTGGTACCTTATTGGCCTTGTGGTAAAAACGTGAATTTGCGCCACTCTGAAAATTGTGTTTTAGAGGAATCTACGATCATGCAATAGACGTCCTGTTGATACTTATTATTGCATAGTCAGGCCGTTACTGGCTATAAAATAGCTGCTTTTTCGGGATGTGTAATGAAAAAAAAATTGAAACTTAATATTACGCTGTTTTGTATCTCACATTATTGTCACGTTCTATTCTTTTTCAAGGCCCCTGCATGTGGCATAGACTTGAATTAGCGGTAATCTAAAAATTCTATTTAATGAATTGTACGATCAATACATTGTCTGTTGATACCTTATTCATGCATTGTCAGGCCGTTGGTTGCTATAAAAAGTAGGTTTTTCCACCGGGCAGAATCTAAAAAGAAAATTTGGACTTAATATAATGCTGTTTCGAAATCTGACGTTCTATTCTATTTCAAAGCCACTGTAGCAAAGACGTTAATTTGCGGCAAATCTGAAAATTGCATTTTAGGAATGAAATATCTACTCACTTTCTGTTCATACCCTATTTTTGCAAAGTCTGGCCGATTCAGGCTACAAAAAAGCAGATTTTTCTTGGTGTGCAATCGAAAAAAAAATTGAGACTTAATATTATGCTGTTCTGAATCTCACGTTCTTTCCGATTTTGCAAGGCCCCTGTAGCAAAGACGTGAACATGCGGCAATATAAAAATTATCTTTTTGGGATTTACGATCAATATGCATTCTGTCAAACCTTATTAATTTTATGCATAGTCAAGCCGTTTCTTTTTATAAACAGCAGGTTTTTCCGCATGTGTAATCGAAAAAAATGTTGAATCGCACCCTCTTATATTTCAAAGCCCCTGTAGCAAAAACGTGAATTTGTGGCAGCCTGAATATTCTATTTTAGTAGTTTACGATCAATATACTTTAATCCTTACTCTTGGTTCGTGCATAGTGCCGTACGTTACTGGTTTTTAAAAAAACAAGCCTTTCCTGATGTGTAATCGAAAAAGATTTGAGATTATGCTGTTTTGATACTCACACTATTCTCACCTTCTATTTTATTTCAAGGCCCTGTGGAAAAGACTTGAACTTGAAGCAATCTGACACTTTTTATTGGTTAATTAATCTACGATCAATACACTTTCTGTTGATTACCGGTTATAAAATAGAAAGATCTTCCGGGTGAAGCGAAAAAAAAAATTGGACTTCATATAATGCTGTTTTGAATCTCATATTAATTCTGTCCTATTTCAAGGCTTCTGTAGGAAAGACGTAAATTTGTGGCAATCTCAAATTTCTATTATACGAATCAACGATCTGTGGACTTTTTGCTGATACGTTATCACTGTATGGTCATGGTGTTTCAGGCGGCAAAAATATAGGTTTTTCCGAATATGTATTCGAAAACAAATATATTTGAGAGTTAATATTATGCTATTTTGATTCTCACGTTCTATTCTATTTGAAGGCCCTTATAACGACTTGAATTTCGCGACTCTGAAAAGTGTGTTTTAGCAACTGATCTACGACCAATGGACTTTCCGTTGATAATTATTGTTGTAATAGTCAGCAGGGCATTTTTTAACTATCCCACAGCCCCCATGGTGACCCTCCGCCCCCCCCCCACTCAACCATTTTGGCCCCTCCAGTCAAAGTCCCTTTTCTCTAAAATATAAGCAAAACATTAATCGAATTTAACAGGGAGGTTTGATACTCTAATAATAACTGAAATTCGTTTTGTGAATCTTATGCCCCGTCTTTTATCTTTAATAAGTACCTTATTATATTTTAAACATTTTCCAGTGAATTGCATTTCACTTGAGTTGTTGGAATGCTCGGCTAAACAACTTAGTGACCGCAGGGGGCAGCAGGCCCTCAACCAAGTGTTTTATAAGGGGGGGACAATTTGCCCCCACCCCGAAAAAAACCCCAATTGATTTCGAAATTAGAAGTATTTGAAATCATATATACCGTACATGTATAACAACATTAAATATTTTCTCGTAATAATCCACCCTATCTCGCGGACAGCATCGACTCACAAAGCATAATGAACGAATTAATGAAAGGGCCTAACAAAAGACGTAGATAAGACTTTGAAAATGCAATTTCCGACGATTTAGAGACGCAAATTTTCAAAATTTTTCCGCTCTCACTCTGAGGGCAGGTTCCCCACTCTGACGGTAGGTTCCTCACCCTGAGGACAAGGTTGCTCACACTGAGGACAATGTTCCTTACTCTGAAGGCAGGTTCCTCACTCTGAGAACAAGATTCCTCACCCTGAGGACTAGGTTCCCCACTCTGAGGACAAGGTTCCTCACTATGAAGGCAGGTTCCTCACACTGTGAACAAGGTTCCTCACTCTGAAAGCAGGTTCCTCACTCAGTGAACAAGATTCCTCACTCGGAGGACAAGGTTCCTCACGCTGAGGACAAGGTCCCTCACTCTGAGGACAAGGTTCCTCACTCAGAACGCAGCTTCCTCACACTGAGGACAATGTTTCTCACTCTGAGAAACAAGGTTCCTCACTCTGAGGACAAGGTTCCTCACCTTGAGGACAAGGTTCCTCACTCTGAGTGTAATATATTCAGTATATATGCATGCTAATTAGATTCATGTATATAAGGGTTGTTTTTGTAACATAATAAACAGACTAATAACATAACATGGTGTCAGGATGGAGCCGTTTATGAAGCCTCCTTTAGAGATGAACTTTTCCACAACTGAACAGTTGTCGTTATCTGAAAGATGGAGACGATGGAAGGAAACTATGCAGTTATATCTTGGATTAAACATGTCTAAAGCCAGCGAGAAAGAACAATGTGCGGCGTTCCGGTATGTGATCGGACAAGACGGGCGAGACATTTATAACACAATGAAGTTTACAGAGGCTCAAACGGACAAAATCGACGTGTTATTCGCGAAGTTTGACGAGGATTGTGAACCCAGAAGAAACACGATTATGGAAAGATACAAGTTTAATACGCGAGTGCAAAGAGACGACGAAACAGCCGATCAGTACGTAACTGAACTTAAATTGCTCGCTAAGAATTGCAACTTCGGGTCTCTTGAGGACGAGTTGATTAGGGACCGCGTTGTTTACGGAATAAAATCGGAGCGTGTGAGAGAACGGTTATTACGAGAACGTGAGTTAACGTTAGATAAAGCGTTAGAAATATGTCAAATAAACGAACAGTCTGAGGAACAACTAAAAGTACTAAACGATGTTCAGAGCGTCAAGGCCATAGGAAAACATAACAAATCAGGAAATTATCGTAGCAAATTAGATGCAAATCGAAGGCGTGATTTCAAGCATAACGGCGGCAACAAACAAGAACAAGTATCGTGTTGCGGAAAGTGCGGAAAGTCTCATCCTGCGAAAGAATGCCCAGCTTTTGGTAAGAAATGTTTTAGGTGTGACAAAAAGAATCATTTCGCTAAATTCTGCAAGTCAAAGAAAATACATGCAGTAGACAAAGCGAGTACAGATGACGAACCGTTGTTTATTGGAGCGGTTAACTCAATTCATAACGAAGAGAATGTTTTCAAAACTTTATCAACCGAGGGAAATGAGATCAAGTTCAAGATTGACACGGGATCACAAGCCAATATAATACCCCTACCTACATTCGAGAAGATGAAGCTCAAACAAACCCGGTTAGAAAGACCAACAGCAAAGTTAACAAGTTACACTGGCGATTATCTACCGGTCGTCGGAGAATGCAATCTGAAATGTAACAACAAGACATTGAAATTTTTCGTGGTGAAAACTGGACAAGTTCCCATCATTGGTTTGAAAGCTTCTCAAGAACTGAATCTGATCAAAATTATCATGAATGTGAACAATGTGATTGGTCAATCAGCAGAAACCATTCATGAGAAATTTCCTAAAGTATTTCAAGGTTTGGGAT